CAGACATTTTCGCCATTTACCAATTAATACAGAGGATGCTTATTTGCATAGATGTGAACAAATGCAAAATGCGTTACAGCATTTAAATCAAAAAAGAGATATGTACAATAATAGACAAATGCAGTCAATGAGCTCAACATATTCTCAACCTAAGAAGTCTAATCTAGATGAAATTGTTGGTCTCGGTATGTTTATAACTAAGTATAAAACATAATGAACATAGTGTTTTTTTGTGACAGCTACTGGTTATTATGTATATACATCACAGAAAAACGTGAAATACGTTCCAACTCCTTTTAAGTTGTCATTTGCCATTTTTGTCAGTAGTTATCTAGCGGACGTCTAACTATCTAGACAGCTACCTCAAAATCACTGATTTCATAACCACAACCATGTTAAATTTAAACTATTTTGATATTTTAATCATAAACTCTATATACCTATCACCGTCTAGTTGTTACTGCTGAGGTATTTTACTTTACATTGATTATAAAATGAGCACTTAAAGTTATTTTCGCTTTAATATTATTCTTCCTTAACGTAAGACGAGCTTAAACAATCTAATTTAAGCACTACTATAAAAGCCAACTTTAACAACCTTCAACTAAGTACAAAATATACATAATTTAAAACAATTAACCCCTTCTGATAATCCAATAGAAGGACGAAAGCTATTGCGAATGCATGATGTGGGTCGCACTAACATATCCTACATGTCTGATAGACTTCGTCTTTTCACCATATCAACTGAACTCATTTATTATTTCGTGTGTTACTGTCTTGAAATATAGATTAAAAAACTACTTTAGTGTTATATGTCATACGTAATAACAAGAGTACATCTGAAAGCCCGACGATATTCCTTATAAAGACGTGTTGTTGTTTATGCTTACAAATTATTACCATTATTGTTGGTAGTAGTAGTAGTAGTAATAGTAGGAGAAGGAGGAGGGGGAGGGGGAGGAGTCGTTGTTGTTGTTGTAGGAGTATTAGGAGTATAGATAGTGAAAGTGTAGTTATTCTTTCGTTAAAAATGAAGAAATGTTTAATATAATCGTAAATAATTTAGTCACTTTTGAATTTTAGATATTTAAAGCTTATTAGCTTTGAAGTATAAACCGTTGTGATTAATTCTACTGAGATAATTAATTTACTTTAATGCTATTGGTTATTGTACTGAAGTGTAAACAAAACAGTCACATATAATGAGCTTTGAGATCTTCTGTCTGTATATTGTAGCTAGCAATGGATTGTGTACGGAAAATGTGCTGAAATAACTTTATGACACTTTGTCATATATATTCATATCTAACAGTTTAGTTATTGTTCGTTATCTAGTAAACTATGAAATGGTTTAATAGATATTGATAAGAAATTCACTAAACATAATGAGAGGCTAAATTTCTCTGCAACCTAAGACATCGTTGTAGTTAATCGTTAATTCTCGTCTCCTTTGTTATGTCGAGGAGGAAGTTGATAATTCTGTGAACAGGTTTTGGATTGAATGAATAGAATTACTGGTCGACAGATGAAAATAAATACAATAGTTTGGTGGAATGATGACTGTTTACAATACGGGGTTACCACTGAATGAACTGATATCAAAGGCAAAACTACTAGCCAGAGAAATATATTTTCTTTTTTATAAAATAACATCGTTGTATATGAATTACCAAGCAAAGGAATAAATATTCATAAAAATCTGGTTGGTAAATGACTTAAAAATACGGATTTCGTAGGTCGTGCAATTAAAAGTAAATTAACACCTGACCCCTGACCATCTGACTTTATTCTTGCTTATCATATAAACTGGTTACATTGTGTAAACTACAGATACTTTGACAGTTAACTACCAAGATAATTAATTTTTTAAAAATTACCAGAAGAAAGATTTTTCTAAGTGTATCCCAAAACAAATGACTCTTTTAAAAGTCATAGGTTAAGTCAATACTTTCAGATAATTTATGTCATATAAAATATATTTCGTATTTTAAATTTTGTTATCCTTTATCTTTGATTTAGCTGCAAACGATTGTCATTTGTTCAATTATCATCCTTATGGATTCCATGGTATGACTGAACCACCTACTGATTGGAACTCAACTAAATCTCAAATGTTTCCGTCATACAACACAAGCACCATAGGTGGTAACAAGCATAATGGACAACACTGTCAGTTTGGATTAAATACACTTGAAAGTTTCCAACAAGGTTGTTTAACTTCTCTAGCCAGTATGTTATTGTGCCCTCATACAATTCTACCCATTATGGTTGGATTGTTTAGTAATTTTGGATCATCTACTGATTATGTACAAAAGTTAGGCGGTGAGTTGATTATCTTAATATCTGTATGTTCATAAGCATTTTGACTGGTTTCACTCGATTTGGTAAACATATTGTTAATAACTAGGAGATAGATCTAAAATTTTTTTATTCATTATTGATGACCGTAGAATCTTTGATTATTTCGAAAACCTTAGCGGTTTTGATAACTGAAGTTTTTATAAATTTTCATAACGTAGGTTATAAACAGTTAAAAGTAGATTGGTTAAGCAAAAAGCTGAGTTTATACATTAAGTAAGAGTACAAATTCCTGAGAAATTCTAAATGAAGAATAATCAATCATCCATTGCCTCCTATTTTGAGTTAATGGTTCTAAAACTTATGTCAGTATATGATTAAAGAAATTCAACCTCAAACCATACGATGTCTATTATCCATTTATTATCTTAATAATGTAATGGCTGTGTTATGATACGTATACATTCAAAATCTACTCATCTTACTGCTATAAATATTGATGCGTGAATTCTTATAAATATATAAATAGACCAATTGTTCATATCATATTTAATGTTATGATCAACAAAACCTATCCAGTGTACATCCAATTTTTTTTCTTTTATTAATTTAATGAGTTTATAAGTTAAGTGAATATAATATGCCAGTCGATTTGTCGTCAAAGACAACATAAGTATTCTGGCAAGCATCTTTTAGAATAGTGGATAAAACAACAATTACAGACTAAATGTTTAGTATGTAACTTCAGTATCAGTCAAAATCATTTATGTTTCTGTCCTATTTTGGAATGCTTAAAATTTATAAGTGAAAAAAATCGAGACAAATAACTTTTAGTTCACTATTGTAATGGTTGTTTGAATCTTCCCACTGATATTTAGGACTGCAATTGATCCATCTCTTAAAACTATAGGTTCATTCCGTGAGTACTGACTCGATATTGCGCTAAAGCTTAAGCAATATAAGCAGAGATGAATGGTGGCCAAAAGAGGAATCCAAGAGGCACGTTTCGTTCTACTCGAGACTCGTCAACTGGATGTAACGGCATCCCACTATTGATTTTCACTCCACAGCTCAAACATAATACTATTCGTAGGTATCATTACCAAGGTTGGATTTTATAATTTCGAATAAATTGAGCACTGTGTAGATTGTTATAAATATATAATATAGTTATAATATCCCAATGAGTATAAAAATTAGATTTTCTGGGGATTCGTGACTTAGTGTAAGCCACTTCTTCAGGTAATATTTGTTTATTTATTCGCTGAAGAAGTGGCTTACAATAAGTCACGAAACGTCAGGAAATCTGATTTTTCTACTCATTGCGATATTACAAATACATTATTCATTTATAGTACTGTTCGCTTTAAATTCTAACGCTTTTTTCCACTTAGCTACTGAGTCCAGATAGCGACTAGCTTGTGCAATGTGGCGAAGTTTTAATTTATTTTAATACTGGTTGATTGAATCTTCCGATTGACGTACAGGACTATAATTGATCAATCTTCTATTCAAACGAACAGTACAAAATGAATTAAATCTTCACACGATTACACAAGCTAGCGGATATCTGGACTTATTACCTAAGTGGAAATCGTGATGGCATTTGAAGTGGACAGTAACATGTTCGAGTCCTGGATTGAACATCAAGTGGGAGTTGCAAGTACATCCAACTGACGAATCGCAGGTAGAACAAAACGCGCCTCTTAGATACCACTACTGGTTACCATCCATCTCTGCACATAACTTTTAAGTTGAAATTCTACACAGTACTGAAAAATAAACTACGTTGTTCATATGTATGTCTAATAACCAGTCTGCTAAGCGATATGTTTTGACTATTTAGATTCAGTATTGATTGAGATCATAAAATATTATCAATTGATAGTTTTTATGCATGACTATTTATGCATTTTCTGAAGATGAATCCAAATGGAAAAAATTAATTCTGCCTAAATGATTTTATAAATTCAATGATCTATTATATTTTGTTTTAATCTACATAAAGTGTTCACCAGGAATAGTCAGAAAAAAAGGATATTTAGTAAATACTTGATAAGTCTTGCGGGTTGAACGCTATATTCGTCTCCTAAGCTATTCTGTAACCCCCAAGCTAGAACTATACAGCGATCTGAACACGAGAGAGAAGACTCAAAGTATGCGAGAAGTAGTTTACTCCAAGGTTCATTTTAATATAGAAAATACAGGGTTTTTAAATGTCCTTGGGTTGCTAGAAGATTCTGGAATGCTACCAAACATAGTAGCAGTGTAGCAGCCAGCCAATCAGAGCCTCAACATGTGACGTTTCGCTTCCTTGAAATTTTTGGCCAAGACTCCAAGTGAACGCTGATTGGATGAAACGCTTCTTAGTGTTTCCTGATGCTTGCTTGTCATTTGCAAGCAATTCTCTGGATCACCCCAACAATACTACTAATAAGTAAACTTATTCCTTAGAGAAAAGTAGATTCTTCTCGTAAATTTTATAAAATTGCCAAATTCTGCAAATTGATCATGTGATTTTGAAAGTTTCACTTTTTCTTTTTTTTCATCTTAATTTATATTTCAGAGGAATTAGTTTATTTAAAACAATCAAATCCATATTATTATGATCAAGCACAAATTGGATTTGAATTTTGGCCAGGAATTCTACCACTTATAATTGTTAGTATATTAGGATATATATTAGGCTTATCATTAGGATGGCAATTAGGTTTTGCAGTAACTGTTACAGCCACATTATTATACGCATTATTTTTGGTAAGTTTCAAATTAATGAATATTTTAGTATTTAACCATTACAAATCTACAAAAAATAAAGTTTTTGTGATTAAGTGTATAAGAATCGAATATTGATAAAAAGAAAACAACGTGATACTGATTGAAGTACGGAATTGACATTAAATACATAACATCTGTGTGCAGCAGCAGTCTCTGCATCAGTAGGCCTCAACATACACAAGGGGAAACCAAGGTCCTCAAATACAACACGGAGAACAGCAATCCAATCACTCTTGATGGCGAAACTCTGGAAGATGTAGAATCCTCCACATACCTGGGAAGCATCATCGATGAACAAGGAGGTTCAGATGCAGACGTCAAGGCAAGGATTGGCAAAGCAAGGGTCGCATTCCTACAATTGAAGAACATATGGAACTCAAAACAACTTCAACCAATATCAAAATGAGAATCTTCAATACGAACGTCAAGGCAGTCAGTTCTGCTGTACGGAGCTGAAACTTGGAGAACTACTACAACCATCACCAAAATGGTACAAGTATTTATAAATAGTTGTCTATGCAAGATGCTCAACATCCGTTGGCCGGATACAATCAGCAACAGCCTTCTCTGGTAGTAAACAAACCAGCTTCCAACTGAAGAGTAAATTAGGAAAGACGATGGAAATGGATAGGATATACACTTCGCAAATCATCAAACTGCATCACGGGACAAGCCCCAACTTGGAACCCTGAAGGAAGGCGGAAAGAGGAAGGCCAAATAACACATTACGTCGGGAAATAAAAGCAGATATGAAAAGGATGAATAGCAGCTGAAAGGAGCTGGAAAGGATTGCCCAGGACAGGGTTTGATGGAGAATGCTGGTGAGCGGCCTATGCTCCTTCACGAGGAGTAACAGGCGTAAGTAAGTAAGTAGGTACATAACCTCTGTAGTGTACTCAAGAACTGATAAGAATGATATTTTAAGATGTTGCTTTATTATTTCAATATAAAATATTATCTTGGCAAAATAAACAATTTGTGTAATGAAAAAATATTCAATTTAATGATTATAAAAATATAAGAATAATTTTCAATAAGATATGTGAGACATACAAGTAGTTGTTAAATGTCTTTGATGTATTTGTAATTTGTAAAAGTTTTACTTAGAATGCATTGAAAGGTATTCATATGATGATTGATTCCATCTACTATATAGTTTTATAATATAAGGATTATGATTAAGTTATAAATTAGATAGAAATTTTCTTCAATAATTCTAGACGATAGTTAAAATAAGTGGATGCGCACCGTTGATGAGTCCTACAGTAGGACGAAACGGCCGTCCAGTGCTCCCAGGTTTTCCATGGTTGCCTAGCTTCAACTGACTCATGATCTTAACCATTGACATTACTATAATATCCACAAAAAAACCCATCTGATATTGAGAAAAATCGTTTAAATTTTAACTGTTTTTATCCCAACATTGTAACTTGTATTGTAATTTATTTTAAGTGATGTCTTTTATCCATAAATAATAAGGTTTGCACATAATAATGAAAAAGCAACTCTAATTCCAATCAAATACCTAAGTTTCAACAGCTAATTTTATCCTTGTAAAAACGCTGATCTTTACAAAATGTACACGTATTCAACTGAAGAAATTATTTTTTGAATAGATAGTCTGCTTTAAAGATATTACACTGTACCATGCACGGAAAAGGACAAAATATATGAAGGAAAATTATCCTCTATAATTAAATAAGGAAATGTTAATATTATATAATTTACTTTTGATTAATTCTTGAACGTGTCACAAATTTTCTGAACTGAAATTAATTGATGTTGATAAGTGACGAGACTATAATTTATGGACGAGTCAATCAGAAGCGTTTGAGAGATTTCGAGGTCACGAAGCTAATTCCAGTACCTGATACTCACGTACGATCGGTTTATATAGGATTTTAGAGAAAACATTATGACTGAGTGGCTACAACAAATGGGATTACTAAGAAGTTCTGTGGTGTGTATGCTGCTGATGTTGACAGATATATCATCAGTAGAAAGTGAAATTCTTGGTGTCAGAAGGTTAAGAAGATTGAAGAAAGAGAACGAAAACAGAGAATTATTGGTATGAAAACCAAAGAACAATGAAGTCTGAGACGATTGATTGACACTTTGCAAATGAATTTTTTAGTGTATGGTTCTGAAATTTTACTAAGAGCTTCTGTAATTTTGTGTTTAAATACATTCGATTGTTCCCACTTGTGTTCTCGTTTACTACAGTTCCCTTATTTGTGACTGTGGTGATCAAATGAGTTGTGGGCTACCGTGATGATGTCTTTCGACGTAATATATGTTGGAGGAAGAAGTCTGCTAGAAGAGGAACCTTGTCCGCTAGATCTAGATTGAGACTAAGGCAAATTATGATAATTGTTGCGATCTGGATAATAAAAGCACTAGTAACAGTGACTGTAACATTTACAGATGTTACTGAAGCTTTGACTGTTCACTGTTATGAGTATCGTACAGATATAAAAATGACAAGTTTACATGAGTCGCTTGGGAGAGTCGGGAGTGAAACAGTCGTCAAAAGACGACGTAGTGTTAAGGAAGGCTGAGAAAGTAGTACTTCCATAAGTGTACCTCCTTGGAATATACGACAGCTTATCTCAAAAGAGACACTTCTGGCGGGTTAGAAACCTTTAGGCTACAACGATAATACCAATTATACAGGAATATGTTCAGCCGTGTACTACAGTATATATGGGTGATTAGGGAGTGTATCGACACCTACATTAATTTGATTAAGTGCATCGTGTCGTGGTCCACAAGTAGCATTTCGTGGACCCAACAACCGGAGTGCGCATAAACAATATTGAAGCTATGTGGTCGAGGCTGAACGAGTTTTTTCCATCTTATCATGTTTCCATAAGTCAACTATTACGGAGTCATATAGACGTGTTCCTCTACCGTATGCATTAAGATTTTAGAATCTCTGGACCTTTTTCTAACCTTGAAAACTTTTAAACCATTTAAAAGAAGTATATCCACTCAAAATCCTTGGCTTTGTATAATATATTTTTACTCTATACTCTATCTTCTCAAGGTCGCTCATAAATTATGTCTTCCCATAACCTTTTACGTTTCTTAGTAAATTCAATCAAACATATTTAAACCATTCAAAAAGCTTATCAGTAAACGTTTTTGACATTACAAAAGTTATAGTTGTCTACGTTTCAAATACAGAATTGTATACAAAACAGTTTGTTACATTTCTTATTTTTATTGTGTTTGTAATTTTTTCCATCAGATTTTACACTTATCTGTCAAATAATCCCTTGTTACTAATTGTCATACAAAGAAACGTTACAATGGAAAATATTTATATACCAGTTACTCAGAAAGTTTTAGTTAGACTTCATTGTCTTAATTTCAATTAACGTTTTTATTTGTAAAATGATAAACACTATAGTTTCAGCTTACTTGTCAATAGTTTCTCAATATTTTACTCAATTAAGTACTCTAATTTGTAATTAATATACTATAATTTGACAGAAAAATAGCTAGATATAATTTTGCCTCTTGTTCACATAATGATGTTGTTGGACAAAGTCGTCTTTAATTTTGAGTTAAAAAGGTAGTGACTAACTTTATGAAACAAATGGATCCCGTTTAATTGCTTCTGGCATTCAAAGCATACAATAGTATACAATATTATCTTTTTGTATCTACATTTTGCAATGTTGAATTCATATATTTCACTGGGTTGTGTTTGTGGGTTTAACAGATTATAAAATTTCAAAAAAATAGAATTTTACGTTCGTATGAAATGAGAGTCGTAATTAGTTACAGCTGAACTTTTGATGGGATAATTTTACGTGCTTACTAACGCCTGTTACTCTCAATGGAGCATAGGCCATCGACCAGCATTCTTAAACCCACTCTGTCCTGATCATATCTTTCTAGTTAGATCCTATTTTTGTTCATTCTTTCCATGTCTGTCTCCATTTCTCGAAGTAATATGTTCTCTGGTCTTCCTCTCCTACTTTGGCCTTGAGGATTACATGTGAGAGCTTGTCTTGTGACGCAGTTGGGTGATATCATCAATAGGTGTCCTATCCACTTCCAGCGCTCCTTCCTCATTTCTTCCTCCACTACAATCTGGTTTGTTCTCATCCATATTGGGTTACTGCTGATAGTGTCTGACCAATGGATCCGAAGGATTTTGCGTAGACAACTGTGAACAAACACTTGTATCTTCTGAATGATGGCTTTCGTAGTTTTTCAAGTTTCCGCCCCATACAGTATAACTGTTTTGACATTTGTATTGAACATTCCGACCTTTGTGTTGGTTGACATTTGTTTTGAGTTCCAGACGTTCTTTAATTATCGATATGCCACTCTTGCTTTGTCGATCCTCACCTTCACATCTGCATCAGATCCACCGTGTTCATCAATGATTCTGCTCATATATGTAAAGGTTTTTACATCCTCCAATAGGATAATCTACTTCTTACCAATAAAATCTACTTTTAATCAGAATATTTTTGATATATCAAATAGATTCATTTACTTATCTATCCATTTCACATCTATGAACACTACATCAGCAAAAAATATTTAACAACCTCTTGAATCACATATCACAGAAATGACTATTCGGATTTGTATTGTTTTTCTCTCTTTCATTTATTGTATAATGAATGGTTTACACATATCTAGTTGCACATATTTTTAAAGTTGATACTTCAACGAATAAGAAATATTCGACGTTATTTAGCCTTCATACTATGTATGATTAAATTAACCTCTGAATTCAATATAACCATTGCAAGATAAATATAATGCATAGAAGCTTTCTTTTATTACAAAACACATAAATGTAAAGCAAATTCTATTGGGATATTGCAAATATACTATTTCTACTAAATACCACTTTAATTATGTTCCATATCAGAAATAAATTTATTGATTGACTTTTCTACCCAATGTATATATTTTTATCAAAGTGCATAATACAAATGATGTTACTACACCTGAGATAAAATATTCATAAAATTGTAGAATACCAAATAGATACATAGTGACTAATAAAAATTATTGTGTTAAATAAGTAACATAGTATACATCGTATTATTATTATTATTATTATTAAATGAAGGTTGATTTCCTTTTGTATTAATGCATTTGTATATTGAAAATAATATAGATATTCTAAGGATTTACTTGTAAAAACCGACTATTTTATCGTTATCCAAACTGACAGATTTTAAACTAGAATATTTATCAGGGAGTTTGTTTCAAACAGTTTTATTCTGCTTATTGTTTGCGTCTTTTTATTTGCTTGAGGTTAGACATTGTCATTGTTGGATGCGGACCAGAGGTTAAACGTTTGCGTGGGGAACCGAAGGCGCTGGGTTCGAATCCCGCGAGCGGGATCGTGAATGCGCACTGCTGAGAAGTCCCACAATAGAACAAAACGGTCATCCAATGATTACAGGTTTTTAATGGTGGTCTAACATCAATCGGTTCATGATCTCAATCAAAAACTTAATGATCTCTACAACCCCACACTGATAAAGCCCTATAATTGTGTAGTGACTAAACACTAAGGTATGGAAGACCACTTTTTTGTTTAATGCACAGCCACACGGTGGTTTAATAAGATATAGAAAAAATACATCAAACGCATCATTTGCTCATCTTCGAGTTATCTCTTATGAGGATTGTGGACCTTTCATTCCTCTTGTTATCTTGATTACTTTCAGTTTCCTTCTCTTCATTTCAATCTTCTCAACCTTCTGCTCTCCGACATTCCACTTTCAACTAGTGTTACATACTACATACATCTTTAATTATAAGTTGCATACCTTACAAGTGTACAAACAATCAGTCACGCTGAATGATTTTTTAAGTTTAAAAGAGATGTTTTCAGTTCCATTGATAATAATTAACACGGTAGTCATCATTGGAATTTTTCAGAAACATCAGTATTTACACAGATGAAAATATATGCCTGATTGATTTTAATTTATCCAACTGAAGTCGTACTAAAGTTTTGAAAATATTTATCTACTTTGACTAATCTGTATAAAAAGTGAAAAACCTAATTAAACTCTAGTTTCACTTGAATTCGATTACAAGTTCTGATTTCCTACATGTATTTCTTACAAACAGAATTGAATCATGAATATTTAAACATTTAGAAGTAATAGTGAAAATTCCCATTTTGACATTTGGTAAATAAAGTAGAAACGAATCGAGAGAAGAAATTGCTTTTCGGTTAGTTTTTCATCATGACTCCACACTAATATATATATAATATATATGATTTACAATAATGAGATAATACTCATCGAGTGAATACGTTACGTTCTTTGTATCGCTTTTCTTAGCTTCTGAGTCACAATTTTTTCAGTAGTTTCATTTAAAAATTGTAATTTTGAGAACAATACTTTCTTAGAAACGGTAGATATCTTTGTCCTTCTTTTCATCTCCTTCATGTGTTTGTCGATGAATTTCGTTGGGTACCCATTCTTACTAAGTAAGTTACGAATATTAACCAATTCATCTACAATAGTATCATCCGAACAAATCATTAAAGCACAATGAGTCAGGATCTTTATCAAGTTCCTTTTGTATATGATTGATTTAGCACTACGTAACTACTATTCTACTGGCCATTCATAAAAATATTATGTTCCCTCTCTTTTTCATATATTATGCAACGTAGCAACTTCTTGATTTTCGAATAATTACTTTGATTATTAATAATCCAGACTGGTTTTGAATACCTTCAGTTAAATAAAGCACGTTATCTGAAATAACCTTTAAAACAAAACAATATCATTATGTTTGTTAGGTGTTCTAAGAATAATAATTCAAAATATTTTGATTCATTCTATACAGTTTAGTTGAGATTAAATTTGAGATTACAATTTAGGATTTCTGATATTTAGCCATACAATAAACTTGATAACATAATAGAAGTAACTCATTGAGGCATTTATTATTATTATTGGCTTTATTCGATATTATATTTTCGGTACAATATAGAATTCTCAGCACAAGTTATTTCGAGAGGTTTCCTTTTCTTATTTCTTTGTCGAACGTTGCGATAAATATTGAGTGGTCGTCAGTTAGATGTTATCAGTTCAGGAATCGACATCTGAATAATGTACATTATTTTCGATGTATATAGCCAGCAACCACAATGTCTCTGATTGGGCTCTTTTGTAACTTCTATAGCGAAATGTGGTAAACTTCTCACAAACGCACCTGAATAGGTTATGAAACTAATAGGCATAATGCTGTGTTAAAACAAACAATAAAACAGATAACTTGTTGAATTATCCAGATTAGGGAAACGGGTAGCCCAGATATTCAAGCTATTTGAACGTGACAGGTGTAATAAATTAATTAAACAATAAATTTGGAAATTTATACAGGGTGTTTAAGTTTTATTTTCCGGTTCGCCAAAATAACTTCATACTGATATTTACAAGTATCTTAGTTCGATATCATCACTAGTTATTCTGTATATTATTGTTATCATATTTTCACTGAAATGGGCATTGTCATCATTCGATACTGGTAAATTCAGTTTAAATATCATCTTTTATAATTATAACCAACTGATATCCAATGACTGTTTTATCTTGATTTAAACGTCTTCTGTTACATAATAGATGGTGCCTAGAACCTTCGTTTTCATTTGATTATTAATCAACTGTTTTCTTACAGAACTGAATTAATCTTCATTATTTGTGCTTTGAAACTGATTTTTACATTAAAAAAAGATATTGAACTTTGTATTAATAAACGCCTGCCGAAGTAAAACTTCTAATTCAAATTATTCGAATTTAATTCAGCTAGACAACCATGGAAAACCTGGACGGCCGTTTTGTCCTATTGTGGGACTTCTCAGCAGCTTCAATTGACTCATTATCTCAACTATTGAAATTACTACAATCTCCACAAAACCCCTTCTGACACGAATCCATATTATTCTGCACCACTCTTTGTTCTTGCTGTCTTTAAGATAATAAACGGAACTATGTGTATGAAATAACTCAGTAGTGTAGAATAATCAATATTTGTAAACACTTTCAAGTAAATAAAGAAAAAATAGAAAACTAACTTCTGATTGACAGTAAGAAAGATTAACTTTCGAATATAGATTAAAGATAATAAACTCACTTGTGTTTTTTTAATGAAATTTTATCTCTTATGTACTACTGTTTATTGTATTGTATGTAATTGGTCCATCTATGAATGTTTGAAACAAAGTCTAATGATAAGCTTAACAGTCAGTTATATATTGAATTCCATGATATTGAATGTTTTTCATCAATAATAATGTATGTCAAGTACTTTTAATAAGACATACAGTCTGTTGCATCGCATCCACAAATGAGTTAACATTTAGATTTAAAGTATAGTAAAAGGATTATCAAGCATTTAACAAATGATGGTCAAATTTGAATGAAAAAGATGAGACCTTTGTATATTTGTAAAAATGTGTAATAAGTAAAACTGATGCAATCATGTTTAATAAGCCTAACAAAGCTTCAAATGTAATCGCGACCGAGTCCAGATAGCCACTGGCTTGTGAAATGGGGTAAAGTTTAAATTCCTTTTTGTATTGATCGTTCGAATAGGGGATTGATCAACTGCAGTCCTGTACTTTAATCGAAAGATTCAAACAACCAATAAAAAATATTCATTCATATTTTAGAACTATTAATATATTCACGACGGTATTTACATTCATGTTAGTCCATTTCAATATAGACTTTGAACAACTATCTACTATCTTCACTATTTAGGTGTAATTATATTTGGAGTTCGTATTAAACACTGGTCGAAAACTATTGAATTAGCTGAAACAATATCTCGTTATATGAGAGGGTGTAATTTATTATTTAATATACTATTTTATCGTTCTCCACATGCTCCTCGTGTAGCTCAACCTGTACGGTAAGTTATTTGATTGTTAATTTTGATGAAATTCTAGCAGAATGACTTTTAATAACTTTAAATTTTACAACAACAAAAATCGAAATATGTGCTTCTGTGCTATAAACATAGAATATTTGTAGTTTGTAACCGATTTGAAAATAAATAGTATGCAATTATCTAACTCAATATTTAGTTCACCGTATTATGATCAGCTCATCAAATTCTCTTTTGTTGTGTTTACATTTAATTAATTGTGATAGATAGGAAGTTCATTCTATTAAACTAACCTCAAGAAATATATGATAATTCAGATAATTCAGTGAAATCTTGAGTCAAAATTCAAGAAGTAATGTGAAACATTTAACAAATATAATTCGAATCTTATTTTATTCAAATAGCTTATTTCCCCGAAGTAACTATTATCATAATATTTATTTAGGGTAACAGATGACTGTTTTAATGTCATTATATTCTCGAGAATTTTAATTTTATCCAAAAAAGACGAATAACAAAGCTTTACTAATTCGTGTTGCTTTCTAAACATTATCCTATTTCTTATGTTCAGATGGATAATTTGATGTTTTAACACATTTCAATAAAATTCATTAGTTTTATGAGATATTCTGATGTTACATTTAAATTCCGATAAGATGGAATGTGATCTAAAGCTTAAATTCTTGTAACTTTATTGTCTTCAATCTTAAGTTACGTTGATTTTATCTGAATATCTTCAGTTATGATATCAATCTATCTACAAGTTTATTTTACGTGTGCACCTATTCCTGACAGAGTTTTATATAACTCCATTTCATTACTATATTAATCAAAAATCTCTTGTGTTCGATCATCGCTGTCTCCGAAGGATTGCTGACATGCAGTGAAAACACCATGTTAGTAATGCACAGGTTCGGTATCGTGTGTCCGGGCACAGAGACGATAATCCATTTGGTGTCACCATCTTGAAATACCGATTTCGGTGGCTTGGACATGTTCTACGAATGTCGTCCCAGAGAATTCCACGTCGTGCATTATTTTCGGACACTGGGACTGGTTGGAAAAAGCGGAGAGGTGGTCAATGTATGACATGGTGTCGTGGTATGGAAGAAAGCTGCAAAGAGCTGGCATCTGTTGGTCCTTCATGACTCCCTGGCTGGGGTCCGAGAGATGGTGCGACAGAGCGGCTAGAGACGTTATCAGATATGGCTCAGGATAGGAGCCAGTGGTGATCCTGCTGTAACCTTCTTTTACTTTCTTCATAAAAAGTGGTTGCTTCTTCCGTAACTGAAAGATCTCTCCTGATTGTACGTTTCTGTTCCCCCCATTAATATTATTATTACGCTACCTTACACCAATCTGTTAGTCATTGTTCATTTTTTACGCCCCTTATCTTTTTTCCCTCTATTTAAATTCTCATTGTTTTATATGGCGCATATATATTTGTTGCCCTCTTGTACCAATATTTATGTGTTCAAATAAATAAATAAATAAAATATTTTTTCTAGATCTCTGTGAATCGTTCCCAGAATTTTGCTTTGATAACCTAATTAATCCTTATGTAATTATTCTCAGTTTCTATTGAACACTGACTATATGTTTCCTGGCTTAACTTCTAAGTGGTATTTAATGTTTTCATCACTGAACATGTCTCTAATCTTTCAGTTTAACGTTTATGTGTGACAACACATTTTCGGGAGTTTCACATCAATGCGTCAATTGTTTCTTGATATTATTTCACTGCTGCTTCTCACGAGCACCATTTTCTAATAGTTTTCTTCCTTATCTTCTAAAACTGAAACCTATCATATCGTAAACAGTAGACAGACATCAAAGTGTGTGAAACATACTATGCAAGTATACTCAGAAACTTACGTTTAGTTCTGTAGTTTAATAGAAGCGTCCAATCCTTTATTCTGCTATCTTGGTTGAATGTATATGAGAAATATGGTTACTAAAGATAACTGTCATATTCACTATGGGTTATGAAACAAGAGAAACCTGTATGTTTTGCTAAACTTTTATATCATAAAATAATTAAAACTCTTAAAAATATTTACCGTTAATTGGTGAGTTTTTCAAATATGATAATAACCAAGTAAACAACTAGTAGCGTTATTTAAACAAAGTGATAACATTATTATTAAGCTAAAATTAACTCAGTCCACTCTAAAACCTTACATCAGTGGCAAACAGAATAAAGTTACAATAAATGTTTAGTATAATTTAACTAGCAAAGTTTAGATAGATGCTCAAAATTACACGGCAATCATGAGAGAAGGAGAAAATCCTAAATCTTATATTAAACTAAGCAACTAGGGTTTTTCAGTGTATATATGTCGAACAACATCACAAATATGTAGAGTCAAGTTATAATCAATAACAAGCTTCATAAAAATGGAGAGGATGACACAATCATGATGAAAGTAAAGATTGGTTTCCTAGCTAGTCGATAAATTAGGATTAATATAAATTTAGTGGATGAATATCGATGAATAGTTGAAAAAGATCATTCAATCGAGAAATTCACTCGATTACTATTATCTCAATAATAACAGACGTTTATCACGCTTTCCACCATAAATAAGGTCGGAAATATATAATAAAGATTGCTTCTCTAACATGAAGTAAATTCTCGATTGTCATGTGTTATTTTGAATACTTTGGAAATATCTATATGATCCTTTCTATTTAATACTGTTAGGTCCCGGGTTCGAACCTCGCGAGAGGCGGGATCGTGGATGCGCACTGCTGAAGAGTCCCACACTGCTACGAAACGACTGTCCAGTGCTTACAGGTTCTCCATGGTGGTCTAGCTTCAACTGATTCATGATTTCAACTATTTAAGTTTCTAAAATCTCCACAAAACCCCCTCTGTTAATACGGTATACGTTTTACGAGCGTATCTTAAAAACGTATAGCCAACTCTTTCACTTATACCTTCCTACATACGCGCCCACAAGTATATGCAAATTTATAAATGCAACTAGAGGTAACCTTAGAGAGATAACGATTGGTTTTTAGTGTGGATTAATGAGTAACTGGTGTTATGAAACAGGCTGAGTTGGAATAAGGGTCGTTTTTAATCCCTTCCTCACTCAAGTTTAAATAATAAAGGTACCTCATTTAATGAGATTTAAGTGATGTACGATTTTTACTAATGGGAAGATCCTTACTCATTATAACGTTAATTCTTGTATTATTTGCCCTTGAAATTTCCCATCATTTGACTGTAAGTTGGTTGAAGAGAGTTTTTCACTATGATTGGTTAATGGTGATATTTAGGATGCTCACTCCGTTATTTTATAATAATAGTTCTCCATTACTCATTTTCTACAGAATTCTTCCAATGATACTAAAATTTCTTATGCTAACCACCCCTTACCAATTGTTATTTCTCTTCATACATTTCTTTGTTAGATTGCTACCAATCAGCATAAATTTGTCCACCTTTTCTACCAGTACAGAGGCAGCAGTACACTTAGCTGAGAAAATGTGGATTTCCATTGAACAAAAATATGGTTGTTTGCCTGTTAGATTACAATGGGCAAGTAAAGATGTATATGGTAGGTAAACAACGACTTAGACAATTATTTTCCATTTTGAATTCCTGAAGTCATTTTAAATATATTATGTCGTAACCATTCAGTTTGAACTATTGTTGTATGTTTGCTAATTATTTTTCACCCAATAACGAACTATCAGCGGCAAATTTGTATATCATAACTGTTATCCAATAACACATTATCAGTATGTGGTTAGTCCAATGAGTGGTAACTAGTTGAGAAGAGATATAAACCATTTGCCTAGAATTACTGTCATATACCAGTAGAAATCATAAACAGACGACGCGACACAAAAAAATAAGTAGAAAAATCGACAAACATAGATTTATTGATCGAAAAAATAGAACAACCCATATGGGCAAAGCATATTAATTTTATGAGTTCCTTCAGAATATTTTCGAAATTTTCGAACACTCCTGGTTGGGCAGGACTTTCCACCGATTGGTTAACTGGATCATTTGTATTCAAACTACCAAACTCACATATAGTTACTGCATGTTTTCTCACTTTAAAACGTCACACATTGATAATGATAATTAGGTACAGGAAACGCATTTATATATATATATATATATATATATATATATATATATATATATATATATATATATATATAAATCTCCAGACTATTTTTATTGCTTGTCAAAATTAAGAAAAACTAATGAATGGCATCTACTGTTCTTATTTAGTACTTGAAATAATTCGATTTTCTTAACTTATTCCTTCTTCAGATCCATTGGGATTTCTTCTCTATATAGTTCATACTAATTTTTAGTTTGGTTTAAAGATATTTTAAAAAAAAAGATCACAAATATTTGAGCTAATTTAATTTAGAATCTTATCAAATGTACATTACCCTCAGTTCATATTCGTGAGTCTTATGAAAGACCGTTTTCTCTATATTTTTTAACCGACAACATATTTAGATTTACTTAATACAAATTAAATAAAGAATTTCAATTATTCTAATTATATTTAGTATATTCTTATCCAGACTTAAATTCAGTGTCTTTCGATTCAAATGTTAACTGTTTTTCACCGAATTTCTGACTCCACACATTTGCTAACATTTTCGCAAGATATGCGAGCATTAGGAAGGACTGTTGTTGTTGATATCCAGGGCTATGAATAGTCAGTCTTTGTTGTCAGATATGGATCAAGTATAGATCGCATCGATTTTGTATTGTCTAACAAGTGTATATAACGAATAAGAGCTCTTTTTAAACTTTGAGATTTATCAAAAGAAGAATACTTATATAATGTTCATGTAACAGTTTATTAATATTTTAAATTCGATTCTAAAGAATATCATCACACTTGAATCATTCAGTTCATTGACAATACTTAACTATGATTTCAAGAAGAAAGTCTATTATTGTATAATGATATATAATATCAATAGATATTCATTCATTATAACCAAGACCTAACAAACGATCACACATTAAAAATTTCACTACTTAAACTCATCCATTTGAATATTATTTATTGATTTCAGGTGATTCAACGAAAACGTATCGTAAAGTTTGTTGTCTTCCATCATGTATATGGGTATTTGTCAATGTGATCACTTTACTCAGTATGGCTACATTAATTGCTATTGATAATTCATTTTCATCAATTGAAAACAAAGATAGCAATAGTAATCCAACTCCAAAAATTGATGGTGATGTAAATACTTTGACAGAAAATTTAAAAGTATTCATCATTGTCTGTGCTGTTATATCTGGATTAAGTTTTCTCATCTTGATTGCTGCCATTACACCAGGTATATTAAAATTAATAAGAGGTCGTCCATTTCAACATCCAATTAAAAAACCATTCTATCCAGATCTTGAAAGTTACACAGATATAACAATGGATAGCTGTTATGGTAGTAGTCTACGTAAATCTTATCCTTTCCCTAATTGTATTGAAACAGGTCAATGTGGTACAGAATACGATACAAATTGTTTTACGCATGGTAAGTTTTGTCTAACTTACATTTCATTTAATCTGTCATCTTGTTGTGCTAATGAGGTATGGCAACTTGGACCGATGCATATATGTGCCTGATCCTACGTCGTAGCTGACTGACTGACTGACTGAGTGTGTGAACAGTATAACGATTTCCATTTGTTCTGTAAAGTAATTTTAAAGTTAGTAAAAGTTAGCTTCATGACAGATTTTTGTAAATAATCAACTTACAAAATGTATAGTTCTGAGTGAGTAAACAAATTTTCTAAAGTTTAAAACTCATGTCACTGAATACTAGAATCTGGATTAAAAACTGTAATTTATAATCAACCTATGCAGAAATTATTACACAAATCCAGATTGAAAATACTTGAAAGGCTAATTGACACAATATCAGTAAATAAATAAATCTGCAGGGAATCGAAATTACGACAGTGAATTTGAATGGTCTGTTAGACAAATCAAACATAAACATTCTCTAAATTCATTCCTAATATTATTTCTTCTTTTTAAAAAAAATCAGTAAATTAATTTACCTTCAGTGTCTTAGATGTATATTCAGTAACTACGGTTATTAAAACCGGACTATCAATCAAGAAAATGCCAGTAAAAAAAGTTCTTGAGAACTTTAAATTAAACTATACTCTCTCTCCCATGGTGAATGACATTAACTTCAAAAGTTTAATTTGTTGTTATACAACATAAGTGATTTCCATGAAATTCTGATTGTTTAATTCTATTCTTGTCTTGTGTATTGAATCTTAGTAGTATGTATGTATGTATGTTTGTCTAACATAAATAATTGAATAGGATTCTTGATATACCATATTACTCCTGCAGTTCAATACAGTTGTTATCAATTTTATTTATAAACTAACTATAAGGATAATTTTTTATAGGAAAAAATTATTTTCACCATCCTTTTGGATCATATGAAACTAGTTTTTATGGTTCAAAGCTAATTCGGTAAAACCAAATTGTTATTAATATTACTATTATTACACTATCTTACTCTATACTTAAGAAACGATAAGAAAATGTTAAACTATCAAACAAGAACTCATAGTAACTAATTTAAAATTTGTCGAAACAAGACTTTGGATTTACCGTATGAACTGATCATTAGGGAGTCATCATAGTTGTATTATATATGAGGATATTTTAAAAAAATATAAATGAAAATAAGTAATAAATAAAAATATTTAATGTTCATCAGATTCATTATTCATTATATAAATTATTTAGATTATCTTAGTTATCTCAAAGATAAACCTGTTTCATAACTCTTTCAACAAACTAACTAACTAAACAAAACCATAATTATAGAAGACTTACCCCAAAAACTATCCTCCCCCCTTACTTGTAAACAGTTTGCACTGATGACCAGCCTTATACAATACAGTTGACTGTATTTTTCTGTGATAACTAACATTGATTTTTTATCTAGTGTTACGTTAACACCACACTACAGTCTTGTTGTTCATTCCAAGTTACTGACCTAATTATAAAAATTACATTAGGATAACATATGTCTATAAATCGGTAACTTTATTATGCATCAAATCGACAAGTCTTACAAGCAATAGTTCACAAGCAATAAAACACCTTCAATACATTCTTTTGTTCTGAAACATTTGATTTTCCAGCTGTTCAGTAATGAATGTGTTCATAATTTTAACTTAAGGTAGGTTGCGCCGTCCCTTAATAGGCTCCGAAAAGGTAGTTCATGATTCTGAGATATTTTTCAAGTCTGACATTTCTTTAAAATTACTCCCTTATCACAACACGATGATTATTCACAAAATGAAAATTAACATATGATATAATCCTTAAGTGAAGTACTATGTAAATGCCATCATAAAATATTCATAACACAATATGAATCAATAGAATGCTGTTCTTCAAGGAATCCAGCCTAGTTTTTATACTCAAAATTTTATAGTTGAATTTGACACCTAGTTTTATCACTTCATCTTTTAGTTGTGCATCTGTAATCAAATTCACTGCTAAACACTTTCATATTAATTTTAGTAATAAAGTTATTTAGATTTCAAATATCTCTATTTTGAGATCATTTTACTAAACTATATCACACTACTAACGTTGAGCGAGGTTAAAAGTAACCTTGATAGTAATATGGTAAGTTTTGGAGATTGTAGAGTTTTCATAGTTTAAATCATGAAATGATTTTAGCTACATTAACATTAAAAACCTGGAGGCGCCGGATGACTGTTTTGTTCCAGTATGGGACATATCAACATTGTGCACACACGACTCCACGTCAGAGAGTCAAATTCAAGACTTTCGGTTTGACGAGCCAACACTTAACCTCTAGACCTCTAAACTATGAAAATAATGGTCGTAATCATATATTTCTTATCAGCCTTCGAGGATAGTGACAGACTAAAACAAGGGTCGTTTGGTAAAACAAGCGTATTTTTTTCACATAGTTGGTCAATATTTCAATATTGGTAATGGATGTTCCACAACTATCCTTAATGATATTCTTTCTTCTTATTCAGTGGATCGTTGAATCTTGATTGAGTTATTTAACAACATATTACTCATACAAAAAAATTCTATGTATTATACTTTTCATAAAATATCTGTGTTATTCACCGATTTTATGTATTTTATAAATTGTCTGCAAGCTGATGTTGTGTTTTATCAATTTTTATTGAATATTTAGGAGCATACTATAACAACGATTCAAGACCATTTTTAGGTGGCTCAAATAAATTAACATCAACTGCATCAATGGCTGCAGCAGCTGCAGCCGCGGCTGTTACCGCAGCTGATCGTCACTGGAGACAAATGGAAAATACTAAATATACTAATCATCACCATCCACAACAAGTGTATGAACGTGCTCAGTTTAAGCCTAAAGATGAATTTGATCTGCAGGGTAATCTAAACAGAATTAATTCAAAAATGGATACCAATTTCAGTGGCCATGATGATGATGAGGATTCCAGTGAAGAATCAAAACAATCCGATTCAAATGAACATAGTTCTAATGAAGATGAAGAAAGTTCTCCAGCTGATGGACCTTTATTTAATTCAGGAGAACATTTAATAAATGGTGAAAACATTCCAAATTCAAATCATGGAACGTTTCATAAAAAAAATCTGTTAGGAAATCACCAAGGTAAAGAGTACTTGAAATCGATAGGGAATAACAAGCGAAGAAAGACTATATCTATTGAACGTCAGAAAAACGAACAACTTCTGAGACAATATGTACTAGATGCTTGTTCGGTTTTATCTATGTTAGACCGTCGAATCGGTGGTCGACAAACTCGTTTGATAATATGTGTTAACGCGATCACCGGGACAGTAGAAAACTCAGCAGCGACTAAGAAACTTTTGGATTTTATGCATCTGTTAGATCATATTCTAATGAAGCCACCAACTGGCGGTAAAAGTTATGATGTCCCTTTAATTCTTGCTCCAATTGGAGCTACAGAAGGTGTAATGAATGACATACCACCTACAGTCTGGGTACCTAATGCTGTTATGATTATCGCAGCTAACATCTCAGGTATCAGCGCTAATAATTCAAGAACACATACTCTCGATTCAGTTAGTCTGAATGATCTTAACCAAATGCACCGAATGTCTTCCGCTTTGAGATTGTCGTTGTCAAATTCTTCAGGAGGATTCAATCCTAAGATTTGGTACTCTATTCATCAGTTGTGTCATTTACCCATATACATAGAAGATGAACCACTTTGTTTCAGAGTATATGATCAAATCAACGAACAACCATTTATTAGCCCTGCACGCTCAGCATCAAATGTACAACAATCGCACGTAAGTTTTAAAGTAATTGTATAACAATAGACATTGATTTAAAAATAATGACTCATCTTACGACTTTTATATTTAAACCAGGTTGTGTAGTCCTTTAAAATTACATCGCATCAATTCTTTTTTGGTTAGGTAAACTTCTTTCAAACGAAATAACATCTTTTACTAGCCTTCCATTTTTTCTATACAATGATTTTGTTAAGTTATTTGAATTATGTTTTCTAAGAGCATTTTATTTTAATAATCTATAATAGTTTGTGAAGCTGAGTATTTTAATAATTGTCAGGCACATCTTTAGGTGTTAAAATTAGATATGCTTTTGTTAATATATATATATATATATATAGCACGTGGGATTCACTAGTTGTAATTTAAATGTCTGACATATTGTACATTCTAGACACTCATCAGACTGTACTCTTTTGCTGGCGATTATTCGACGCTGAAGTCAATCATAATTTTAGAAATAAACATAGAAAGGATATCTACTAAAAATTCATTGCTTACAGTGAAATAATTTTCTGTATAAGCTTATTATTATTGAATCAATGTAAGGGATATGATAGAACGAGGACAATTTATCATACTCCTAGATGTGAACTAAATGTTTTCCAGTGCTTACATAATTCAGATCATGTTTGTCATCCATTTCTACAATTACACCCCATAGTTCCACTGGGTATAGACTTAATAACAGAATTCTAATTGGATTTCAAAGAAAATCATTTTCATAACACTGACTGTTATATTAATGACAGTAACTATATTTACTAAGCTACTTACTATAAATTAAACCTTCTCGTTTCACATGTATTTGACATACATAAAAGCTACGACTTCATCATTAAAAACAGACAAAATACGATGTTCAAAAAAATCTATGTTTTAAATCCCTATGGTATTCGAAATTTGATGAATCTACCATTTTTACAAAAATAGTTAAAGTAGACAAAATCATACTGCCATTAGTATTTCGAAAAAACATCTAATTTTCAAATGAAGAACTAGATTCCTGACTTTATTTTATTGGTAAATGTTCTTGATACCTACCACATACATGATTACACTTATCATATTCCAAGCAATTACAATAATATAATTTTCATGTAATATACATTGTTTTTATTTTCTAGCAAGAGAAAAAGACTGAAGTATCTCAGCCAAAATCAATGATCGATCTTTATGTGGGCAAACATGATTTATTGCATTTCAATAAAAAAAGATTTCGTCATCTTTTGACACTGACAGCTTTTACAGGTTGGTGTTTAATTCCATTTCGATTCAACATACTGGTGTTTTATTTTTAATATATCTGTTAGTCTAGTAACGCATGAATTTCCAAGAATTTTATGAATAAATAAACATCAGTAGAATTCTCAGAAGGGGTTTTGTGGAGATTTTAGAAATTTCACTGATTGAAATCATGAGTCAATTGAAGCTAGACCATCATGGAAAGTCTGGAAGCACTGTACGGCCGTTTCGTCCCAGAGTGGGACTCCTCAGCAGTATGCATCTCCACAAGACCCCTTATGATAATAATCATCTGCTCACTAGTGACTGACTTCAAGAGATATTCTTGGAGTTCTAGTGAGAAGCCGATACCAGTGGAGTTCAACCAGGTCTGTTGTGAGATATCAGATCACTGAAGACAATGGTGTACGGCGGCGCAATTTCGTGGATTCATTGAAGTTAGATATTAGCACCGTTGGATGCCGGCTCAGTTGTCTAATGATTAAGCGCTCATGCACGAGACTGTTAGGTCCTGGGTTCGAATCTTAGGGGTGCGGGATCGTGGATGCGCACTGCTGAAGTGTCCCACAATGAGATGGAACGGCCGTTCAGTGTTACCAGGTTTTCCATGGTGATCTAACTTCAATTGACTCATGATTTCAATCAATGAAATCAGTAGAATTGTTGGTATTCAAATTCTGATTTTAACGCGATTGTAATCAAGCTCATTTTGAAGGAAACCGATTATGTGTCAAATAACAAATTTTTGAACAAAAAATACATGTCCAATAATGTGAAGTCATCCTTTGGTTAGAAAATCTATTTTTAGGCAAATAATACATTAACTACCTTAGTTCACCTAAATGTTTACAATGTGGGAAACTAAATAACTTTATTTACTTCACAATAAATTGTAATCTTTATCTTAAACTGGTTCATGTTCAGCTTTCTGAACAAATCATATCTTGTTACTGGAACTTATGAAGGTTTATTCTAAAGTAACCTTTTAATGATATTTACACTGATTCCCATTTTTCGAAAAAGAGAAATGATTGAATTGAAATTTATATTTTTGTGCTTTTGTTTAGGTCGTATGGTGAAATTGGATAGATTATTCACCCAACGCATTATTTATCAAAGTGGTCAAAAAAGTCTATCATATTTAAGTGCTTTACAATATTTTGCTAACGAACCTTCGTTAAATACACTTGTGATGTGGTTATGCTTTTTAACACATTGGCCATTTCATGCTGCATGGTTAGGTGTATTTATTGAAAATTATCAAAAGTGTGAAATCAAAGAACGTAATAATTATTTACTAACTAATCAAACCTCGCGTTCACAACCTGAAGGTCTTAATCGAACACTAAATGATACTAATCCGTCACAATTTGGAATGGAACAATTGGGTCCAAGTTTAACTGCTCTATATTCACGTGTAATAAAAAGGTATTCAAAGACATTTCTAAATATTTCAAGTATGATATTCATTTTTTGCTTATGTTTTATGTAACTCCATATTTTCTAAACAACTTCACAATAAAATCACACGAGATCTAATACATAAAACGCTTGAATGAAATCATTGATAATTTTGCAACAAATGGGAAAAGGTCACAGATTTGTAAAATCGATGTAGAAGAATGTCCTACATATTTGCAGAAACACAAAAACCTTTATAGCTCCCATCGAATCATAAAATCATTCAGTTAGAAGATTCCAGGGTTCAGCTTCTTTCATTCATGACTGGCATATTTGAGAAACACACCATTCTTGTGATTCAATGATTTTATTAAAATTCTTAATACCTAGATAGATTTAAATAATCTCTCCACACTTTTACTACATCCTTCCTTGATTTGACTTACCCGTCTTCTATCGAATATATAATTCCGATGATATCGTGGTAATGACCTTTAAATGTTTCCTTAACCATAAACGGATACATTTGATACATTTGATCAATAATCAGTAATATTGTTTACACACCTGCCTAACTTTATCTAGACCACGTTTGTAGGGTTGTGAAGTCATTATACTGAAGAATTTCACATTGAGACAAAGCAGCTGTCTAATATTCACACACTTTCAATGGTTTTCCCCTAAAGTTAGTCCATGATGAACAGCCTCCACAAACCACTAGCATTAATTATGCTCATTAGTCTGGAACCTACTTAATATTGAGGAGATTGTAGTCATATACAATAATAACCATTGACAAAAAAGGTAAATATTAATCTTAAATGATGTTTCTGATCCACTACATTTAGCTGATATACGCTTCGCGTATTTCCATGGTCGGACTTTTTTAAAAGAGACAATAAGTATTAATACACAATCTGTACATGGACATAATTATGAACAATCACTGTTCATTATGATCAAGTCAAAAATATCCTATTAAAAGTATTGTATTGAATAAATTAATTCAGAAGATTGAGAGAAGTGCAAAACTCACCGATATATGTAGACTGCTAGCAAATTTTCCAAGGTTTTTCGGAATCCGTTTCCGAAGCTTGGTATTGGTCTAAATTTTAGTCACAACTCTGTGGATAAACGTGTCCGCATAAACACCACTAATTTCCTTCCTTATCTTTATTTGACCTTTGCCTACCATTCAAAATAATGATTTTCTCTCACCTTGTCAGATCAGATCAATGTCAATACAATCTCCCGATGTACTTTCATTACTACTAATAATCGATTTTTAGTGACTAATCTATCTTGTTATTTATCAAATAAAATACAAACTCACATTACCCTCTAAGTTGGATACATAAACTTAATTCCTTCCACCAAGACTAATATCAACATTTTTATGATTTACAATAAATCTATTTTTTGTTATATTCCAATAAATAGAAAACTTGTATTTCTGAGGTTTTGTAACTTAATGTAGGCCACTTTTTCAGAGAAAATAAACCTTGGCATCAATACCTACAAATTCGCTGATTTTTATGATTTTTAATTTCAAATATGATGCCCGTTACCATCAGCCATATACCTATACCATAATTCAAAGTTTAAATGTTCTATCTAAAGATTTTTGCTTTTAGTTCTAAAGCCTGTTAAGAAATTATCGAAACTGCGTTATTCCCATATTCACCTATTATTTAGTCATATATAAGGTTTGATATAGGAAACTTTTCTGTATTATTGACTTGTTAGAACTGTTACGATTTTGTAAGGAATTTACTTATTTTTTTGATCACAAAATGCTATCAGAGTAGAATAATTATGACTAATCTGTTAAGATGGGATGATTGATTCAGAATCATAGACTGAGTTAAGTTAAAACTATAAACTACATAGATTCCGACTTTACGATTTAATGCTGTCATGCTTGCTACGTAACCTGAAGCTTACGTAGTCTATACGACCAATGAGTAGGAAATTAAAATAAATAGCTTTTCAATTAACCTTAGCTTTCAATGATTGTTAAATTTGAGTCAGACTATGATGTTAAACCACACAATCTAACAATCTCTAAACCTCCTATTAATCAGAATTAAGACTAAGTAATTGTTTAGGTACATATGCCTTTTTAAAACGTTGTAAATACTCATGAAGTCAACTGGATAAGTATCCATCTCATAACTTTACAAAAACTATGAAATCTGGAAAGATTTTAAGAAAGATTGGGCAGTAGTTAGCAGTGTAATCCATAAGGAGAATATATTTCGGGGCTCCAGTGTTTATTACTCACGATCATTATGGGAAACTGAATAAAATGAACTTTTATTATATTTATATATTATATATAATATATATATATATAACGAAACGGCCGTCCAGTGCTTCCAGGTTTTCAATAGTGATCTAACATCAATCGATTCATGATCTCAGCTGTTGAAATTAGTAAAGAATCATATGAATTGAAAAATGAATTGACAGCTAAATCAAATAATACTGGCAGATTTGCACAAAAATATTACATGATATCATAATCCTGAATGAAATTAGGCATATTGACAGCAGATGTTTAAATTCTAGACATTGTTGTTCCTATGTTGATTAAACAGCAAATGTTTGTCTGACAATGTAACTACTGAAATCGGAAATAGCCTACTTGATAATGACCACGTCCTGATAGAGTATTATAGATCTGTATGGTGTCTTCTGATGCATTAATTTGGTATATGAAATAGCCATTAAATTATTGTGATCAAATGATTGAACTCTACTTTTTTGTACTTTAATGGTCATTCCATAGTAATTTACCTCGTATTGTTCACATATGAAAATATATACACTGTTGTAAATAAGTTAATAAAGTGTGAATGTTATCAAAAGATGTTTTTGAAAGTCCTGAAAGGTCTATCTTGCATACGTAATTAAAAAGCAGTGAAACCAATCAACAAAATTATATCATATTGTGAATCAGACGTTGCTTCAAACGCAAGTGCATGAGTCATCGTTGAACAATACAGGAGGAATTCTATGAGCTGATAACGGAAATGAACTAAACTGATAGAAAAGATCAAATAATATCAACTGCGTCATAAAGGGAATAGAAAATATCTATCAGATAATAATTTACTGTTAAAGATTGGAAATATTTCTTTTGTATCTGGGATTCATCTAGTAGATAACGAGTAAGAGAACGTGTGAAAATGAAAACAAAATCCATGCAATCCAAACTGTTTGATTTTTCAATAGATGACGTTGACGCTGTTTTTCCTTGAGTTACAGCATTTTGTGTGTGGTCTTCGTTCAGGTGTTAAAGTTAAGTGCGGAAAATGGCTGCTGCAGCAGCGAATAAACTTAGCGAAGTGCATAGAAATAATTGGATGAGAAAGTAATTTTTCATGATAACAATGATGTTTGAAAGTTACATGTCTGCTAAAGTATAAATTCGTAAAACGTTCTTTAAGTTGATTTGAAAAAAATGTCTTGAGTTTACATGATCAAAGCGGTGTCCCGTAAAATTACTTTGGAAATGAGATCTCTAGTTTTCGTTATCTCACATTGTCTTTATACCTTTAATAATGAAGCAACCGACTACGATTTTATAAAACAATGCTTCTTTAATGACTTACTTTGTTAGCTATTCCATCTGTTCTATAGCTGTTCCATGCTTAACGAGTTTTCTCCCTCTGTCGATACATGTCCAACCACAAATCTGAAAAGATTTCTTTTTCATACTGCTTCATGCAGATGAATCTTGCAAACAATGCACTACTGTTTTTAGTGAAAAACATGTAAAACAGGGAGAAGAATGGTTCTGAGTGGCGCTTCTGAGCGAATTTTTTAATACAACCTTGGAACTGTCAAACATGGTTAAGTGTGTTTAACTCTTAAACAAATCTGAATATCCTTAATGTCGGGTATAAAGTAGTTTTCAAAAAGCAGTACAAATATAATGTCCATCTCAAACCATCTCTAAGTATATTTAAATTTGGCAATAAGTTTAAATGCATATTTAAGAGATCTCCTATTTATACTTTCTAAGGTAATATGGCTCCAGCATATTGTATGCATTATCTGAGCATCATCAGCCACAAATATGACAAATTATTTTATTATTGACACACAAATAAACAAAACGCCAATATTGATTTAAAACATAACTTTAAATATATCAGCGTCTTTAAAATGTTTGTTTCATGTGTGGTTTCTACATTTAAATAAATGAGTTCCGAACTGATTAATGACGATTATTTACCCTGGGATAATAAATACTGTTAACCTCCAAGTGATCAGTAGATATATGTATTTTTTTAGAAGATTGGTCTTTTCATTAAAACATACAAGGAAAATACCACCTGGTGATCTACTCTATTTAATTCAAAAGAGTTAAAATGAAAAAAAATATCACAGATACCTGCTATTAATCTAATTTTCTTATATTAATTTGTATTTGGTAATGTTCATTATTCACTATAGGGTTTATTGTTTTAATCAAAAGAACCATAGTAACATTGTTACTCTAAACGATGGAACAATATTCACTAATTTCTATCACTGATTCATAAAGGTTTTGAAACAAAAAACAACATCATAATTAGAGTATATCCAGTGTAAGAAACTGATCATCTGAGAAATAAATTGACCATACAAAATAGTTTCTATGGTGTACAAACCAGTATAAAGATGTTAAATGAAAGGAAATAAAAATGCATGTATATACATACACGCACTTCACTTAAAAAATATTTCATTATATAAACTATGATTTCTGTTTACTCACTTATGAGGATGATTTCCGTTTGTATTTCGTATACGTTATTAGTGTTAAAACACCAAGAATACAATATTTACAATCTATATTCTTCCTTTTATGTATGAGAAAAATAGTATTCATTTCAATTACAATTGAATGAAGAATGGTTGAGAATTATGAAAAATTTAGGTGATTTCACGAATCACTCGTAATAACTTAATACTTTTCTTGGAGTTAACATATGATCGCTTACAGATAATACAAAAAGGTTTTATATAAATTGTAGTTGAATTAGCCTAGATTCGAATGCATACACAAATATAGCCATATCTCTATTCAAGTCATAATCGAACACTTACATAAACGTAAGCATTCACTAGATAGTGTGGTGTGTGCTACTGATATCGACGGATATAAGTAGTATATATTATCAATCGAAAGTGAAATGCCTGGAGGTAGAAGGTTAAGAAGATCGAAGAAAAGAGAACAAAAACAGAGAATTAGTGGTCTGGAAACGAAAGGGTAATGAAGTCTCAGACGATTGATGACATTTTGCAAATGAAGTATTTAGTGTATGATTCTCAGATTTTACCAATACGTTCTGTAATTTTGTGTTCAAATACATTCAATTGTCCCCATTTATGTTCTTCTTCACTACAGATAGTAATCATTAGTAAAATAAAGTTAATAAGGGATCTACTTCAACAGTGAGCTGTATTTGTTAACCACAACTTATTTAAGCATAGGTAGTTTCGTTGTTGTAACAAGTTTGTCAGATATTTCAGAATTCTCAGTAGAAGATGATAACAAAAAAGGAATACATATTCTACATTTAAGTAACTTTTATCTCTATCATAAAAAAACATTCTATGACTTTAAAATATAAATCCGAAAAGTTTCTTTAGTAGTGAAGTTATGAATTATCGGTGAGACTAATTTATGGACGACCTTTGAGCGACATTGGAGTGACCTTGAGAGTGTCCACCTAATAACTGAGAACAAATGAAGATTCTAAACCAGTGTGAGGAATAAGAATTATGATTTACAGTTGATGGCTAAGATAAGAGATTAGTTTTAAGGTTTATATCACGAATTAACATCAGTTATTATGCTAAAACGGTATTTTACCAAATGGATGAATGAATTTTGCGCTAAAATCTTATACCTGTTATCTTATACTTGATTGGTTTGTCCATCAATTATAGTCTCGCCGAATTATCTTCAAAAAGATTTATATCTACTTATCGGATGCTATTTCATTATCCCTAAACAAAATACAGTTGCACTTTTCAGATGTCAGCTGTAAAAAAGATTATAAAAAAACCTCTCACAAGTTATTCTACTGCAGATATACTACAGAGTACTACGTCTTACCCTTAAAATGTAGGAAACATTCGCTTAATGTATGAGTAAACTTTAAACACTAATTATCTTTTATAAAAAAGCTTAAGTTGGAAACACTTATTGGTAGTAGATTATGTAAATATAAAATAAACTCGATACTTGTTGCTTATTTCATTCACTACTCACTATCCGTCTAGTTTTTCTTTATTATTTATTTTATTTAAAATTATCATGGTAACTAATTGTATCAAAAAAATTTTCATTATCATCCAAAAAGGTTTCTTTTTTGTTTCCACATTAATTATGTACGCAGTCTTAATGTGAATAGAATACAAAACTTTGTTAATTTAACTAAATTAAGCTTTATTATTCCTAACTATGTGAATATATATTTGAGAAAATATTTTCTTTTCTGATAATAATGAATTCCTTAAGGAATTAAATAAACTCACTTTTTTAATGATCTGAATCTAGTTATGTAATTGTGTATATACATTTAAAGTATATGACTATATTTAATCCAATGGTTTATAAACAATTCACTGTACCTCATTTGCATTTGATCAATTGGGTGTCAATTCTAAAATTTATTTATTAATAGTTACATTAAGTAGATTTGTCATTCAAGAGTTAATTTTGATTGTTTTAGCATCATAATATGTATTAAACTAATACTTCTTTTTTACCTGTGAAGGTACTTTAACTAAATTTTAGACTGTACTAGAATTATTGAATTCTTCATAGATGATAATGAATTCATTCTAGTTTTCCCTGATAGTATCGTTAGTTCTGAATATTAGTTTAGTATGATTTCAAAGCCAAGTAGAAGTTACACATTCAATCTTCATAACTCAAATGAGATAATCATTTTAATTGTGTGACGACAGACCATGCGTGAACTCGAGGAAGCCCTAAGAGCAAAAGATATTCCATTCAGTCATCTATTAGAAGAATATTCAAGAATCCCTATATGGAGCTTCCCTATTGGACAAATGCTAATGACACCCTGTATACGGATTGGAGAACTATAATGATGATTTTGTTTTTACCAAAAACTATAAATACCTGATAGTTTTATATCATAATTGACACTATTTGGAATAGCATTCCTTGCACTTGTCTTCTGTTTTCTCATTCGCGACTTGGGCGTGTTCTAGCGTTCAAGTGCTCAAGTTATACGCAGTATATTAAGAATCTAAGCTGTAGATATAACAATTTGAAATTCAGATTTCAAAACAATTACTTTTCAAAACTAAATAAAATGTGGTACTTTAAACATAAACACAATTTGAACCATTAATTAACAATCTTTAAATGTGATAGCCGTTGTTAAGATAGTCTATGATGTATAACATGAATTCAATATTATTCATCATGACTATGAAGGATCGATCATCTGTGAAGGTATGGATAAAATGATCATAACACGAGTTATAGATTCAATAAAAATTTCAGTGGCTGATCAATTTAAATTAGGATACAGTAAAAATAATTAAAAACAAAGAAGGACACTAAAAGTGAAAATGAGCTTGTACATCGTGATCCATATTCACAGCAGATTAAGTTAACTGATTTGTCTGCAAATTTTATTATAAAGTCATTTAAAAATCTAAACCTCAATAATGCATTTGTAAGTGCTTGTATCTTCGTGCTGTCGATATTAAAGACTCAAACACATCAATCTCCTTTGGGATTTTTACATCCTGAGAGGATTTCCTCGATGTCCCCACATAGTCGCATGTTTTAGGTAAATGTGATAGCAGCATTTTGTCCTACATGGAACAGGTCAACACGAGATACCTACAGTCTAGTGTTGATATTTACGCGGCGACTTCAGCCTAGTATCTTTACTTCAAATCCTCAACGCTTTGTTCGCTGAGATAGTGAGTACAGATAGCCAACTGTTTCGTGCTAAATCCATGTGTTTTATTTATAAGCCTTTACATAGTTCCGTCTTTGGTACTAAGGTATGCAACTGATGTGCTGCTCAGAGTACACCTAAAATATCATTTTATTAATTTATTTCTAGGTATTCATATTTTCCATTATGAGTTTTATTGAAACTTATGAAAAGTCTAATAAATAAGCTATCATTAAGTCACAGATCCGTAATGAGTTGACCTTCTCATTAATTTGCAGATAAAATGAACTTCATCATTTACATTCACATTTCGTCGAAAAAAATAAGAATAACCTATTTTTTAATTCGTTTCATAATTTTCTAGATTTGGACCAATTATTCAAGCAGTACGTCTAAAAGCATTGTCTGCATCATTTCTAGCTACTAGTGGAGTAAACTCAATATCAGGAACATTTCATACTAACACTGAACCTCCTCTCATAACCAATGAATTATTGACAAGTATTAATAAAACTTTAAAAATCTGTGAAATTGCTTTTTATGATAAAGATCCAACGAAACTTGGTGAATTTCTAAGATCATGTGATTCAAATAAATTAGATTCGACTATTTTACAAACTGGATCAGTTACAATTCATCAGCTTTTGAGAATTATGAAGTTAACGCCATTTTTAAATCCACAAATGAGCAATTGGATTGCAGGTACTCATTGAATTTATGATATTTTCTTGTTACCTTTTTCAACATGTTAGAATTAATTATCTTTTATCATATTTTACTGTTGAATTTTTTTATGATCAATGAATTCAGTCAGCTACAACGTAGGGTCAGCACATATATGCATCGGACAAAGTTGCCACGAACTCGTTAGCACAACAAGATGAATACCAAATTTGTAGTAGTTACTTCAGTGGTGGTAATATATAAAAGAAAGATTGCATATAAGGATATAATAAAGAGAGAAAGAATTAGTTTATAGAAAGAAAGGTATAAAGCAGTTTTAATATCACGGTTTAAGGGAAGACAGAGAGTGTATACACGGACGCCATTGTGATTGATTCTCAGCTATATGACCCAGAGTCTCCAACCATTGGTTACGGTAGTTGCGCGGACCCTAACCAAGTAGTCGGCATCTACTAACATGGCTCATACCATAAATTAGTGAATTCAAGAATTGATGCCACGTTTTAGTTTGGCCGCTCCTAACTTTCTTTCAACCGTCTCCAACTTTTGAAAACTCTATTGACGTGATGAAAATGAAAATCATACTTAAAAGCTTCTTTTAATACAATAATAAAGTAAAACCTTAGCAGAAAAGTGTATTAGGTAATAATCGTAAAGATATATAGCTTCATTTACATTGCACAACGAACCTCACTTAACTAAAATCATTATTCCGTAAATTACTATACATGCGTGTTTTTTTTTCTATATATGTGTAGTATGTAATTTCTCAATTAGAATTTTTGGGATTAGTGGAACTTTGCCTAATTTATACAAAAAGAATTACGAATACATTTCCTGGGGGGGAGTCTTTAGTAATTTGTTTCCATTATAGAGAGTTATTTTTTAATTTCCCTTTCGAAAAATCACTACTACTTGCAATTAATGAATGCAAAAAATAAATAAATTGTAATAAAACCTAATGAGAATTATAAAAAAATGTAAATATTTAGCGGATTTAGAGCATTTGGCATCACAAATTTACTGATCGCTTGGCTGATATATATATATATATATATATATATATATATATATATATATATATATACAAATACTCAAGTGAACGCTACACATAATTGATACACGCTTATGGCTTATACATAATATTCTAAAAGACTTTAACAAGCTATATCTCTGATTCGAGATAAATATGAAACTAACGTTATATTCATACATGTAATGAATTTCAGTGTAATATATTAATATTCAAAATTAACTGTTACAATTACTTGTATGTTTCTTTTATAAAATAAAAACTACTTTAGAATCACTGCTTCCTAAGATGAATAAACTCGAAAAGAATAACGAACAAAATGGTAAGTATTAGTAGTTTACATTAAAATATTTTGATATATATATACATATTCTTCTTTTCTAAAAGAATATAGTTTAATAGTTGAAATCATGAGTCAGTTGAAGTTAGACCACCATGGAAAACCTGGTAACACTGAACGGCCGTTCCATCCATTGTGGGACACTTCAGCAGTGCGCATCCACGATCCCGCACCCCTCAAGATTCGAACCCAGGATCTATCAGTCTCGCGCATGAGCGCTTAACCATTAGACAACTGAGCCGGCATCCAACGGTGTTAATGTCTAACTTCAACGAATCCACAAAATTGCACCGCCGTACACCACTGTCTTCAGTGATCTGATATCTCACAACAGACCTGGTTAAACTCCACTGGCCTAAATCTCCTTTATATGTAATGTAAGATAATAAAACTAATTGTCATTTAGAAAGTTCACAAAATAATTTATATTCTGCACAGAAAGGTTTCATGAATTTAATTGGTACTAGAAGAATGTCGAGATTCACTAAAGTTGTTTACAATATTTTAACTCAATAGTACTAGCATATTATCATGGATTAATCAAATTGATCAACACTAAAGACATTAGTTATCACTCAATGATCTATTAGCACATAAAACTTTCTTCTAATTAAAACTACTGCTATCGACTGGATATATAAAAATACTCGAGCATCTGGACCTAACTGCCAGTTATTGGAACCTACCTGGAATATAGATTAGGCACATAAGCCGTCACAGATCCTCATTCATGTCAGCCAAACTTATTTAGGGATTTTATCGTCATGATATTTTACTAGTTTGTAATTCATACAACTCAAGCACTATCCAGCAGTGAAAACTACCCTCTAGTCTGCATTAAACTGAATGAGTTTAAATAGATTTCGTTGGTTTAAAAGGGTTCTGACCACCAGGTACGTATTAATTCTGCAAGTCTCTGAGATTTTCGACGTCAAAAATCTCGAGGCAATCAATCTAGCTAAATGAAAGGATGAATCTCAATGTCATCAGAAGCAAAAACACACTTGATGCCATATCTTTAAGGGGTTTTGTAAGTTTTAGCCATGCTAATCCTCATTTCCTGTGGCTCCCAGCTAATCTCTGGTCTGATCTACCTTACAAAAACAACATGGTTACTCAATGATTTAAAAATAACAAATTTGCTGTTTGTCGAAGTGAACTAAAAACATTATATATATATGGAGAGTTACAGAAAGGGGATGTTAATTACTAAATTGATTATGATTATGTAGTAATTACATTAATCAGCAGCAAATGGTGGTAAATATTATCTGGTTTGTGACGGACAATTTCCCAAAAGGAATTCCACTGCAACTGGACGTTTAGAATGAGCATTTATTTCTTGATTACGTATCATGAATTCCTCTGATTAACCGTTGCTAACGAGACAAAATAGTTGATAGATGAATCAAGGCTAGCTTATGACCAATGAAATTAAAAGTGTGTTTGTTTCCTTGTCAGACAATTCTCGTTAAACATCAGGAGACTAACTAACGAATCCAATCTACTCAATCAGATTGTTTCTAACTTCAATAATTATTGTTTAACCGATCACAATAACACGAAAGATATATTTTCTCCAGACAAATAGAAAATATTCAAAGTACATCTGTACGGTTTTGAGTGCTTATGCCTAGTATAAGACAATTATCAATGCCTATCCTTTTAAAAAATTGAGGCAAACCCATCTGTTGTCCAGTCTACTATCATAATGGCTCCAAATTTAAATATAACAGGTTTGAAAGTAATAAAAGATTTCATATGTTTTTTTTACTAAAACTGTTTGATCAATATCTATGGTCTGAAAATAATTTATATTTCAAATGTTTGTTAACTAGAAAGCTGATTAGTTTGAAGATTCATAAACTCTTCACTTTGGTATATTTTCTGTTTAACTCAGATCCCTAGCATATTTAAATAAAATACGAAACAAATGTCATTCAGAATTCCAAATTTTCCACTACTTATGGCTGGTGGAATTTTCAAAAATTACTTATTCATTGTTAGATTTCCCAGCATAAAATTCTATTAAACATAAATAACTGAGAATTGTAAGTTTAGTTGTTAATAAAACTAATAAGTAAGATAAACAAGTTTATGATTGACTTAGCAACGAACCTTGGGCCTGAGAATGAAAGGAGGAAAACTGATTTGCTGTTACTTTAAGAATGCATTTAAAGATTAATTATACAAATTAGTATCTGTTATAAATTAACTACTCATCGTTTGTTCCCTTAAACGTTTTTAACCACTATTTTTCATTATAGAAATTAATCCGTTCGCTTTTAAATGAAATTTTTATTCTAGTGATAGAAAGAAAACCAGCCAGTTCAAGAAGTAGTCGACGTTCACATACATTTAATATGACAGAAGATCATGGTATTGTTTTACCAACTAATGTTACAGAAATCAAAAGGGATTCATTTAGATCATGTATAGCAAAACTTAAGGTAAGTTGCATCCGCTGTCTGTTACCTAGGTTTAATATAAATTTTTAATGACATTTTACAAAACTGCTTTTTGTGAAGTAATTTACATATTACAACAAACTAAACGTGGTTGTCGAACTGCTCGCGAAATTGTGACCGAAAATCCATCAGAATATTATAAGGGTATTGAATTTGAAGCCTAAAAAGTATTATCTGTTGAAATGTCTCTATAATGATATTGAATGTCTAACCAAAAACTGTTAGCATCTTGGTTGATCCAATTGTGAATGAATTAAGTTGTTAATTCGGACATATAGCAATTTAAGCATTTTTAGGCCCACAGACCATACATACAAAACAAAGTGAACTACGCTTCTACAATAAACGGCTAAACAATTTTTCGTTAATAAAAAGTATATAATCTTCATACATATACAATAGATTAACTTAACACTGCGCTATAGCGCAAGCTGTTTTATTTCCCTTCACTTTGTTTTTTTTTCACCAAAGTTTCTTTAAAATTATAAATGTCTCAATTAACATGCAATGACATTCTTATGAAACATGCAACAATGTAATCTCTTTACTGTAGATAAATTGTTGTAAGTTCTAGTCTTATTAGTAAGAAGTGTTTTGACGTCCAGTCAAATATAATTGATTCAACTTAATGCAAAAGTGAACGAAATTATCTTCCATGTATATTTATACTAGAAAAGCACTGAAAATAAAGTTGCATTGGTTCACAAACAGGACATTCTTTTCCTGGATTCCTACTAGCTTTTTGATTAATATTAAAATATCTAGGGTCACATTAGATTTTTAAAAATGTTGCCTGTATTCCATGTTCTTCACTTTATTGTGTGACAGTATCGAGTATTATATAATTAACAGTACCTCGTTAAACAATCACTGATGCACAAATAAATAATATATTTTTGTTATCCCAATGAGCAGAAAATCTAATTTTCTACTCATTGGGATATTACAAATATATTATTTATTTATAACAATCTACCCAATGCTCAGTTTATTCGAAATTATCAAATCACGTCTTGGTAATGATACTTACAAAATCACTGATGCAGTTTCTTATACGCCAGAGTTATCTATTAACGTGATGCAGAATAGCACATTTTTAGTTTTTTAAGTCAGCTCTAAAGAATACATAAGTAAATTTATTTGTGGTAATAATTATCACAATGATCTAGTTCCTGTATTTAGTTGAGTTTAAGAGGTACTGTTTCTTAACTAAGACAGTACAAATATGTAGTGGTTATTGATTTTCAGTAGTTCATAGCTAAGTAATTACATAAGAAACTATCATTAAGTTGAGTGGTAACTACTCAGTTCGATTTTACATCAATAATAAAACCGGTACTTACTATCTTTTATTTCTCCGTTCTTCAGGAGACAGTTCCAAAGAAACCTTTAAATCAATTTACAGTGAATGAAGTATGTCAGTTGGTTGAGAGAATAGTGATTTTAACTAACAAATATTTCAAAAGTAATAAAATGGGTCTCTGTCAAGACTCAAGGTCACATGATCACTTAATTAACATTCAGAACAATTCAGATTTAACTAAAAGACTGAGTTCTGAAGAGTCTGAAACACTAATTAATGATCCAATTCCACCAGCAGCTGTAAACACAACATCGGATAATATAACTGTATCATCAACTATTAGACGTTATACAGATTCTATAAGAAAGTTCAATATCACGGGAAGTGTGCTAGACCTATGTCCTTTAAAGGATCTAGAAGTGAAGCTTAATATATCTCCTATTGACTGGAAATTATTTTGTGCGTTTATACAGCACTTGAAACAAACTGAATGTGAAGAAATGTTGATATCAGTAAAATCACAAAATTCCAACGCACAATTCACAGTACCATGTAAACATTTAGCTCAAAATTATCCAAGAATTATTCAGAGTTCTAGAGATAAACTTATTGAAACAGACAAATCGTCAGTACTATCTGAAATAAGGAAAGATCAGCTACAGATGAACACAATAAGTGATACAAGTTTGACGGTAAAAAGTGCGCCATTAATAAAGCACTACGAATTGGACAATGAAGTAAGACAAAATGAGCGTAATGATAAAGCAGACCAAATCAGTGTAATGCATAACAACAGATCTATGAGCATGGTCGGTGTAAACAGATTAAATGATACTGAACATGTTATAAACAGCAATATTCATGTACCACGATACGATCGTACAATGGCAATTTCCAAACTGAAAACTAAATCGCATCATCATTCTAAGGCGATGGAACAAGCAATTAACTCTACACAATTACCTTGTGAAAAGCATCACTATACGTTATCACCTCAATCAAGACAAACATATAATAATGATAAATATGTTAAATCACAGTATGAATCGAAATCACAACAATATCCTTATATTGTTCAGCCACATTTACATCATAAACCAAAGCATCAAAAACCGTCAGAATGTAAAACGCCGTGTGATCAAAATGAATGTAACTGTTGCATGCACAATATAGTGACACAAGATGCTCTGACGGTATGTCATGCTCATACTCTACCTCATAACTCACATATTTACCAACAGAAACAAAATCACCACCAAGAAGCACGTGAGTCAGTCATACCTCCTCATCTATCGTCAAGCGCTGCCTTTTGTAATCATCACCGTAAGTTGATTACTGGTAACGATTTAGCGACGACAACAGCAGCTTCAGCAACAGAACAAGAAGAATCACCAAACGAAAACTTGGGAATATCAATTCGTCGATGTTTACAGTGCGAACTTCCATTTAATACTGAGCTTAACCATCAATGTGTGCAACAATATATTCCTGATTTGTATAATTCACATAAACAAGTCAGTTCAAGTGCTCTTTATACTTATAAAACTGCTGAATTGATGCATCATTCTCTAGAGTTACCACACATTCGTAGCCATGAAATTAAAAAGGTAACACAATCCCCTTCTGTGCGTCATTTTAATACAGTCAATGATTTTCCGGAAATCAACAAAAAAGACTCAGCTTCTACCTCATTAGCTGGTGAAATCGGTGATGAAGTTGCTGATATGAGTCAACTTAGTAATTATGAAGATGATAATGATGATGGTTTTTTATTATCTGGTCAAAAATTAGAAGGAAAACGAATCAAGAAATCCTCAGCCACCATTATAGATAGTGATGCAGTACTATATCAACATCCATGTGATTGTAATTACTGGTATGCACATGAACAACAAGCACAACATCAAGAACATAATCAATTAGGATTATTTCAAAATGAACCAATTAAACCTCCTGATTATAAAATTAATTCTAATCACCAAGATGATCAGCTAAATTCTAGTTTGGATACATTAAGTACTACAACAAATACTAGCAGTAATAATAGCAGTAATACTAGTATAATTAATGATAATATAAGTAAACATAGTCAATTAGATATCAATTCAATAAACAGTTGTGATCAACTTACATCAGAATGTTCTAGTGATAATACAATGAATTCAAAGTGATAATTTATTAACCTATTTTCATTTAATAAATGATTATAAACATTGGACAATTGAATCTTCCAACTTGCATCATAATAAAATAAATGAAGTCAATCTAAATAAGAATGATTAAATTATTCTATGATTATATATATACAACAAGGATTCAATAGGCTCTTACTATTTTAATGAGAATATTATATAAAATAGTATATTCAATTCAATTTCTTTTTTTAGTATTAATTATTAGATTATGAGTTTTATTGTTTAAATCTTATGAGTATAAATTGTACGATAATTTTATGAGTAATATCTGTAAATTTAGTATCTCTAGTGAAATGAGAAAAATTCAAATTCATATTTCTTGTGAAAAATTTATGTAAACAAAACAAATTAAAACAAACATAAATTTCAATGAACTAATTTAGATAATTGCCCATAAACATATATATATATATATATATATATATATATATATATATATATATATATATATTGTTCAATTGTTTTAATTGAACTATCTCTTTGATTAAGCTTTGAAATGTAAAATAAGTGGATTTCAACATGAATTTATAGTATTAATAATATTTATTTTCTTCTTAACTTTATCTTTTTAAATTTCATTGTCTTGTGGAATTTCTAAAATAAATGTTGTAAACATAATTATAATTGTTTGTACTGTTACATATCGAACACGTAGATGAATTGATAAGTATATGGTAAATAAGATTTCTACATGAAATCACATGTTGATTAAGCATTACTTTGATAGGACTTTGGGTTTGTAATGGACTAGATGCACTACTAAGCAATATAATGACGTATAATAAAGAAAAGTTTTGCTACTTAGGTTAACTAGAACCATATTTATCGAAATTTTTTTATGTAGCTTTATTTCAACAATCGCTTGTGACTTTCACGTCCATTTGAAGTAATACGAAATATAATTAAGAGCAAAGCTATACTTCAACTGGGCATCACATAAGTGTATGAGAACTAGTTAAAGGAGAAAGTAGTTATATATTAGTTTAAAATATCAATGAATTCCAACATACAATTGATAATACTAACAATAATAGAACAGCTATGAAATTGTGATTAATATTTACAATTTACATTTGAACAAGGGGCATCCAATCTTGAAAACTTACCATCTACAAAAATAGTAAATATGGATAAAAGTTATCAAAGAAAACGTGAACAACCCGGCACATTTAAAAATGAGAACTTACATTTGACTCGTATACTCCAAACTTCTTACAATAACGACAACTGACAGCCAACTGTGTAACCAATAAAATGTATGTAAATAAGAAAGAATAGACTATGACACTTGTCGATTTAGTCTTATAATAATAAATGAACTCACTGTTTTCTTTAGGGGCTTCGTATATGTTCAATGATGTTTCTGAAGAAATTTACAATATTCCTATTATCATCATATTAATGATAACTGAGAAACTAAAATGCGACACATTTTTCTACTCCTTGGAAGAATCCATTGCTTTTACGTACACATTACAACGTGGATAGCCTGTTTTATTTGCCCTACTATTTATAACCAAAGAGTCTGTAATCAGTTCTGTTGTTAATCTGTCTCCATGCAGTGACAAATCTCGCCACATGTCGTTGTATATAAATGCCAGTTTCACCCAACAGTAAGTTCAGCTAACGAAAATGAATTCCATTGATTGTTCTTACACCCAGTTCATCTTTAACAGTGCTGTACAAATAATACTCACCTTGACTACCGATTTTCACGTCTTCTGTAATCCTTTAAAACTAAAGATGCTGTATACGACGTCAGCAGTCCTATAAGAGGTATTAAGGGAAATAAGCCAAAGCATTCCTTAGGCTGATACTATACTATCCGACTTAAATGAAATGAACCTAGTATATCCTAATGAAACAATCCGTTCCTTAATATCATACTTGATCGGAGTGCCTGTCGTACTAACGGGATTCCTAGCTTGTGGAATGTGACATAAAGAAATCTTTTATGCATAAGGCTAAGCTACCTGTTCTTCTATAGCGTATTCGATGTGCACTGTTCTCCCTATCTCCCTCATATAAAAATCCGCATGAACGATCAAATGAAAATCTAACACTTCAGGAAAACCTCAATCATTAGAAAGGTGGTTTAACGTGCACACTATAAACAAGACCTTCTAATCTAAAGTACCATGCTTAATCTCGAAGAGAAGCACTTAAACCATCTCTAGTAGAGTCAGAGGGACTGCTATGTAACCTAGGACTCAATTAAGGATGGAGTAATATCGAAACTATAATTTTATGGATGAAACAATCACATTTAAGTTAGAAGATCTTGGATTTTGGGGATAAGATTCACTCACTAATTTGGCTAAATACCTAAAGCGACAGTCAAGTGTCACTGTTCCCTAGTCAGATTATCAGGCACTTAGGTTACTGAATCTTGAATTACTCACCGATCCCCATCAAAGTCAAGGATAACCAACGTGCATCAGTTAATCGCACGCCATGGACTGGCCCATGCGGTGATGGTCGCACACTATCATGAACCTACTCTTGCTAAGATACTTCTGTTATAACGCCGTTGGTATTGTGTGGTCATCAAGGTAGCCGTAGTACCTGTATACGCCAAAAGGGTAGTCTATGTTAGTTATCAACAGTGAAGTATGACTTTGAGGTTAGCTGGTCGGTCTAACTCGAGTAGGCCCCCAATCGTTAGTCACAGATCATCTCCGTTGATGATCTACATATCATTTTCGAATTATAGACCATGTCATTTCGTGGTGAAAACATTAAACCTAAATTCTTACCCTAATGTTCAACTGTAAATCCTAATCCTAATTCCTCACACTAGTGTTTAATCCTCATTTAACCTTGGCAAGTAAGAGGACATTCCAAAGTCATTTTAGCGTTGCCCAAAGATTGTTCATAATTTATAGTTCTACCTACCTTTGTTATGAGTTTGTACATATCAAATGATGTCTTTGCGCTTGCTTCACTTTTTTTATCTGTTTCCAGTTATTTGGTGATGTCTGATGGGTTTTAGTATACCTAATTGACTACACTAATTCCAGTCAATCTGATAGTTATTTGTGTATTTGTATGTCTTGTAGTTCTGACGAGTTTGTCTAAGGTTAATGGAGTTTCTGGATAACAAAACATATCACATTAGAAGGTTTGTTGGTTGCAATATGAAAATTATGAAACGCGAATTCGGATGCCAAGAGAAGATTAATGTTTCCTGAAAAAATAAATAACTAATTAACTGGTAATCCGGAATATGTGTGAAGACCGAATTTCAAGAATAAAAGGCAAAAAGGGGTAACTATGACCAAGATAAAAGTGGTTAATGATAAGTGACAATAACAACAGTAGGTAAGTTATGAGACATGTATCATGAGCGGCTGTTCCAAGAGGAAGATAGTCATCCGTGGGTGAGTACATATTTGTCAAGTCTCCTCTCAGAGATATCCACTGAGGATGCTGTGGTCACTTCGACTGGAGAGCACTTCAGGAGGGAGCATCTATTAAGAATTTCAAATATTATACGATCATTTGTGTTCATCTAGTTCTACCTGCCTTACATTGTACTAATTTGAGAATTCTTAGTAAGCACATTAATTCGAAAACTTCTGATGATTATATTGGCGTCGCAATGGAACCTGTCATTTTCAAGCTATCGAAGATTACATGTAAACGTTTGAAGTCCGAATCGTGACCAGAAAAGTTGTTAGGGATGATAAAAATGTGGCTGTTTTCCTCATATTCATGAAAAAGTATTGCAGGTCATCAACGCCGATGACCTCTGTCAAATAATAAGGGGCCTGTAGTGACTCACTTTTATCACGAGAACACGATTGGTTTAATTAAAACAACTATTATTATAACCAACTGTACCAGTGCTTGTTTTAATGCGCTTTTGTTTAACTGTGCTAATTATAGCCATTGTGTGCTTCCATTAGATTCAGATTTGTGTAGTGAGGAGAGAAGGCCTACGGCCTATGTTATTCCTTTTCTAGTATGCTTCTGTGAGTGTCCAGTCTTCTCTTGAAAGAGTCAATTGAAGGTGCGGACACCACTGCTTCAGGCAGCAGGTTCCAAGTATTGATGACTCGGTGTGAAAACCTGTATGCCACGGGTATTTTGTTCGTTCTTGGCTTTTCTACTCGCCTGCTATGTCCTCTGAGGTGTCCCGATCTAGTGGGAAGAAAGAGAGAGAATAAGTTAGGTCCGAAATCATTTCTCAGTATTCTGTACATCAATATTAGATCTCCCCTTAGTCTGCGATAGGACAGAGTAAAGAGGTTCAGTTTTTCAAGCCGCTCTTTATATGATAAACCCGGAGTTCCGGAATTGCACGCGTAGCTGCCCTCTGTACCTTTTCTATTATGTCCGAGTCACCTTTAAACAGGGGCTTGCAGCCTGAACACAGTTCTCTAACTTAGTTCTCACTAAGGATGTGTATAATGTGGTGAACATGGTAGTATCAAGCTTAGTGAATGTCCTTTTTAAAGCCCAGAGGGTTCGAAACCCCTTAACTGCGACCTCATTGCTCACTGTCACCCCTAGGTCCTTATGAGACCGGACTACGGGTAATGACACATCCCCTATGTTGTACGTATTAACCTTTGAATCCCCCAAGTGCATGTAGACACACTTTTCCGAGTTGATAGGCATTAGCCACTCTTTAGACCAGTTTATCATATTATTTAAGTCCGCCTGAAGAGTAAATGCGTCTTTGTCTCCAGTTATTACTCGCCAAATTTTTACATCGTCAGCGTATAATAACATTGGAGACTGTACTATACTTGTAAGATCATTAACGTACATTATAAAAAGTAAAGGACCTAAGACGGAACCTTGGGGTACTCCACTAAGTACTGGTCTCCAGATGGAGCACTTGGAATTTATTCTTACTTTTTGCCTACGACCTACTAGGAAATCCTTAATCCATTTTAAAAGAGGTCCGGCAATACCAAGGTTTGCCAACTTCAATAGCAGCCTATTAGTTGGCACCTTGTCAAAAGCCT